GAAATAACATTTAATTGATGCATCAGAAAATTCTTATGTAATTTTTGAGTTTAGTGACCTGTCTTACTGGTGTCATAAGCATCCTTTATTTGTTTTCAAATAAGCATCCTCTGAGCTTTGGGCCTATGGATGGATGGATAAGTATCATGGTACAAGGGATAAAGTATATATCATAAAACAGACTGATTGGAATTCCCACAACAGACACGACATCTACTGCGTGTTTGACCATGAAAGTAACATCAATTTTCCCATGACTGTAGGTAAGAAACAATTCTTTAAATCAGAAAAAAATACTAACCACAATGGACAGGATAGATAAATCTGACACATTAAAAGCAACAACATTTATTTTTAAAGAGAAACAGTTTTAAAAAGTAAAAAGTGAGATTTGTTCACTTTTAACTGACATATATTTTGTCATATAAATACATTATTCTAATACACAGAACAATAAACTAATGAATTCTATAAATCAAAGAGAAAAAAGAAGAAGAGGAGAAGGAGAAGGCAAAAGCTTAATGGACATTTCACAAAAGAGAAAAATCCAACTGTCTGATAAACATAAAAAGATATTTGGCCTCATTTGTAATCAGTAAAATGCAAATTAAATGATGTTACTTCTCAAGATTGTTTGAAAATTAAATTATCATATATTAAAGCACCCATATAAGCCCCGGTACTCAGTAGATATAAAAACCACAAATCTGGCTGAGGAAATAACTCATTGGTAAAGCATGTACTTAGCATGCATGAGTCCCTAGGTTCAGTTCCCTCACTATAAGTCAAAATCTGCTTCTCCAATCATTCTTATCTGACCTTTTCTAGGGGCCATCCATGCAAATATGAAGCAGCTCTCCAAAGTCTTAATGTCCATTAATAACTTGAACTTAACACTGGCTGCTGCTGAGGCTTAGAATCTAATTTGGATTCCTCTGCAGTGAATTCACATACTGTAATTGTTCCACAAGTAATTTTAATGCATTACCTTTATTCCTTACTTCCCATCTTTCTGATTCCACTTTCCTTCTCATGCTATTTTTCTATTCCTTTTCAATTCATTCTGCAGGCACCTAGGCAAGACACTTTAAATTCTTTTGGAGGATAAGCAGGGTACAAATAAACTTTGCAAAACAAGCTTTTGCAAACATTGGCCCTTTGCATTTCCATGAAGCCCTCTGAGTATAATACATCTGTGGGTCAATCAAATATACCAGTGTCATACCGGTGGGTTGCTATAGAGAGGTTCCAAATCAACATTCTGAGAATTACACTCACTGTTGGGCAGGTACCTTAAATTAGCCTCTTCTAAAGCTTTCTACCTAATCAGAAGGAAAGATACCCATAGATGTGATCAGTGACCAACAGACTACTCATGTCTGTACATACCACAGGAGAGGAAGCTGCTGAAGAGTAAGGAGGGGGCGGTGTCTCCACAGCTACTTCAGGATCTTCCTGTTCACTTTCACTGTAACATTCTGTAACAAAAATGAAAATGCTTACTGCTTGAACACTGTTGTCACCAACTATTCCATAATGTATGGCCAGAGGTTTTTCTCCAATCTGGCTATTGCCATTTCAGTCCAATTCAGAAAGAAGAAACTGAGTGAACTTCCGGGTACAAAAGAGTTGCTTAAGAGGGAAAAACTAATGGCCCCTCCAGTCTTTTGTCCTCAAAGAACACCTGATATGCAGGAGGAAAACCAATCCCAACCATAGCTCAGGAAAACAAAAGAATTCTTCAAAGGAGTGTGAGTCATATACTAAGAGAGCATGAAACCAGTAGTAATTACATTTGATGATAAGAACCATAATGAGCTGATAACTAAACCATCAGTGGTACACTAATAGGGCGTACTAGGCTGAGCCATATACAAGAAGATCCCCAATGGCAATGGCCACAAATGAAGCTGAAAGTTTTTAGGGGCCATATCATGGAATGCTTTCAGTACAAGAATAAGAAGTGCTTTTGCACAGTTCTTCCCTCCCCAATCTATATCCAATGAGTACTTATTGTATAAAAAAAGGGCAAGAAGACTGTTAGACTGCTTTCACAGTATTGTACTAGATTCTTTTATTCTTTTAAGTCTAATTGCCACTTTTCCATTTCAAAATTTAAGTTTTTATCATTTCGTTATCAAAAAACATAACTCCCTACTTCCAATTTTTTAGTGTTCTGTAGGTTGAGTGGTTTAGAAATATACCAGCCTAGTGGCCCAGGAATCCAAAGCCTCCCTCTTCACACAAAGGATTAAGTACATCATTAAGAAGAATTAGACTCCTGCAGCTTTTGAACCCTGAAAGCTACAGATTGAGCTAAAAATATGGCCTGTGTCCCCATCTGCCCTCAGGCTGCTAGTATAATCTTAGGGTACTTACACCTGACGGAAATGCTAAGCTATCAGAGAGGAAATAGTGGGACAAACTTTATCTGACTAGATCATAACAAATTCATGTCTGTGACTAAGAATTCAGTAAGTAGGGCAGTAAAACATTTGCATTGACAATTGGTTGAAACATCAGTGAAGCCAAGCTAGTGAAATGTGGGGGAAGTGTGAAATCATTCACAGCCAGCATGGGAAGCTCTGTTCAATGTTGCTAAGTCCGTGTGAACATGTATCTCTCTACATTTCAGATCAGTTCAAATGCCAAACTACTTTCATCAGGACCAGACTATACATAGAACTTGACATTGTTTCTCCAGGCCTATTCATTCTATTCTAGTATCGTCACCAACTTTTCAGAAATTTAAAATAGAACATACCTTCATCCTTTGTAGTGGATTCCTGATGAATTACAGCTAATCCAAGTTTATTTAACCACCTAAGTAAATAGAAAGTAAATGTTTGACCATAGTGATTGACCTGCCCTCAGCTTCCTTCCCCTATACTCTGAAGAGTCTCGTGACAAACATTATGATGAAATTAATTCCTAGTTTCACTATTAGTCTGAACATTTCAGAAACAGCATAAGCTTATGACATCAAAATCTAAGGCCTCTGGTTTTACAACACTGTCTTCATTCAAGATATGCTTTGTAAAATAAGTGTGTGGATAAAGGTGGGCAGCTAAATCACATAATCTAAATGTATGAACAAATAAATCTTCTGTACTTATTCATTTGAAAGTTTTAGTAACCATCATAACCATTTTATTATTGGTTTCTCTTATGTGACATTAAAGCTGTGTTGATTTATTTCAGAAAAAAATAAAGCCATACATTTTAAAACCACAAAGATTTTTTTGTCCATCAGTATAATATCTGGCTAGAACCTGACAAGTATTACTAAACTGGAAAAATTTTTAATTCTTTGAAAAATTTTGTGTAAGTTTTACGAAAAATTGATAATGTTTGCCCTTCTACTGATTCATTATTTTAATCGGATAATGAATACCAGTTATATATTAATCACAACAAGAGAACTAGACAAACCTTAAGAAACTCAAACCTGGTTTACAACTTCAGACCTCTGTGTTTCCTCCACAAGACTTTAGTTAGAAACACATTTTAGAACACAAATTTTTTTTTGGTGGGGGGAGGATAGAACTCAGGACCTTGCGCTTGCAAGGCAGGTGGCGGAACCGCTGAGCTAAATCCCCTGCCCACAAATTTTTTAAAGATAAAAAATAAAATATGTCTACCTCATATGTTCCTGATAACATAATCTTATACTTAAAGGAATGTTTTGAGGCAGTGATTATTCTGTACTTTTAAAAATACTCCATGTTTGATATCGTGTATTCTTTTATCTTTTTTCTTTCTTTCTTTTTTAGAAAACAGAACATTCAATAGTGCCCTAAAGCAAACAATACAAACAAAATAGAATAATGCTATGCATTTATCAATTCACTTATATTTTTCATTTCTTCTAGTCCTGGAGTGTCTCATGAACTTTTCACCATGGGATAAATGTTGCATATTCCCAAATCTACAATTTCTCTAGAAACCCTCACCCAATCTCCAATCAGCCATGATTTTGTTGTATTCACTATTTTTTAACAGGAAAAGTATAAAACATTTGATTATTTTAAGATAAACAAAATAGGAGTTTCTGCAAGAAGAAAGATGGGCCTAGCCTCTTATGAGAGTTTCCCTTTGGAACCATAACAAGCCCAAGTTCTCTAAAGGCCACTTAAAACTGGGCAGTTACTAGGGCCCAGAACATACCAGAAGAGCTCAACAATGTTTATCAAGTCTCAAGAGAATAACAGGCAAAATAAAGGAACAAGAAATCATGGGGGAAAAAATGCAACAGCTAATACATATATGGGAAAATTCTCAGCCTCAGTAGTATTTTAGAAGAGTACCTATCTAGACACAAGAAAGTATTTTTCACCACTATATTGGCAAAAATGAAAAATACTGTTGATGTTCAGTACTTAAATGAACATTCTCTTCCACTGTTGAGGTAAACATGAAAATTGATGCAGCCAATTTTGAGCAGGCAATTTGACACTATTCAAAATTTAAGCATCCACAATGATTACGGTTATAAATATCTGCTCTACAAAAACACACCATTATTTGCCCAGATATAGAAAAATGGTAAGTGCCAACCAGGCTTGGGTGTAGTGACACGTGCCTGTCATTCCAGCTACTTTGGATGCTAGGATAAGGAGGATCACAAGGTAAAGGCCAGCCTGAGAAACTTAGTGAGATCTTGTTTCAAAATAAATTTTTAAATATATATGTATATCATATGTGTGTGTGTGTGTGTGTGTGTGTGTGTGTGTGTGTGATGCTGGGACTGTAGCACAGTAGTAGAGCACTTGCCAACCAAGTACAAGCCCCTGGGCTCAATTCTAGCACTAAAAAATTAATTGAGACAATATAATTGTTGTCCTTTAAGCAAAATCATTAAACAATGATTTTGATATCATGAGAAAACTAATAAAAAGACTAAAGATAGAAATAGCTTGTAATGACCTCAAAAAGTCCTAGTATTCTATTAACTGAAAGGAACAAATATAGATCAATATGCTTAGCCTGTTTTAATGTACTTTGAAAATTATATATTTGTGTACATGCATGAATTGGCCATAAAAGAGTTTCAGGAAGGATATACATCATAAAAGTGGTTAACCCTAAGGAAAGAAGTTGAATTAAAAGGTGAAGGAGAGGATATAGGGAGTCTGTTACTTTTTCTGCTTTTATATCATTCAATTTTTACAAGAATGTTTTATGTGTCACTTAACTAAAAGAAATGTAAAAGTATATTTTTTAAAAAATTGATCAGGAAAAATACAATAAATTTCAAGGTTCACTTTTTAAATACCATAACAATTTTTAGTTTATACATTATTTTATAATTATAATAAGCTGTCACCCTCAAAAAGATAAAAGATTCTAATAGTTAAGTAGACAAAAATTAGAAGAGAAAAACAAAGGCAAAAAAAATTTTGAATTGAGGATGCTGAAGCCAAAGACATATCTAAAACCCTTTCCAGAACAGGAAAATATAGAAAAGTGAAAATGTATTGACGATAAAGAAAAGACTTCTCTTATGCCTTACCTAAATCTCCTGCCCTTTCTTTTGCCACCATTAGTTACAATGAGTAATCAGAACATTCAGAGAATATTTAAATTTTTGAAAAATTTATTACAGTAAAAGACATTATCATTACGCCCTCTCAAAGTGCTACTCAAAGTTCACTCATTTTGAACACATCTATTTCATTGTTCTTGCCATTTTCTGAAAAACTTCTAGAAGTCCTATTTCATGAGCATCCTTAGTTGCAGTGGTGTAGTTAGCGAAGGGGAACAGAGGGGGCGGTCCACTCCAGGTGGCACATTTTTAGGGCGGCTTTTTTGGCCGAAAGGGAAATTATATTGTAACAATTTATTCCATTCAGATATGTTGGAGGGCACAAATTTTGAAGCACCACCTGAGTCGCACAAACTCTTAACTACAGCAGTGTTTAGTTGCTGTCATCACTGCCTCCGTGTTCTGAATCAATTGAAAGCATTTACTTTTCCTGGTCTTTTTGACTTTATGGAACACCCAGAAGTCACATGACACCAGTTCAGAGGAATAAGATGGATGGGGACACTGTAGTGCCTTTTCAAGCCTACCTTTCCAAAACTGGATGGTGCTTGGCCGCATCACTCACTTTATTTTGATTACATCTTATAAAGACAGAAAGAGAACTTTCAGAACTTATTCAGAAGGTGGCAAGAATGATGGGTGTTTGAAGCAAGGGGAAGTATTTTGAGGAGAATTAATGATGCAATGTGTCCCTTAATAAATTTTTAAAATTTAAACATTTGCCATAGTTTTTTATTGTACCTTATATTACAGTGACAAACCAGAAAATGTTTTTTAAAAATCCTATTCCACATTTTTTTCTAGAACTCACTGGCTTTGGGCACCTCCTTTGCTAAGAACTTTTCTTAAATCTCATGGCAGTAAAACACTTTTATTCGTGGCTAAGTAGATGGAGGCACAAAACAATTTATATTTACATAAAAGATGACAGATGTTTCCTGGGAGTTTGTTGTATATTAGCTTAATGGGAATGTGTGCTGGAGGAGCAAACGTGTTAGGAAATAGACGTACAAAACAAAGGCATCTTCTCACAAACACCATCTGAGGAAGGCAGCAGCCACAGTCTCTGCTTAGAAACCAACTCTTTCATTACCCTCAATTACTTACCCTGTACTGGTAAATTGAGGGTCGCTGCAGAACATACGAAGTTTCTATTAAATTTAATTACTCTCCTTTCATCGTTCCTGAGAGAAATGTCACCATCCAGAAACGCAGTTACCCAAGGAGGTGAACATATAAAACAGAGCCCATCTCTCCAACACCACCTGCTCCAACATCACCTCCTCCCGCCCTCCCTCCTTTCAGCCCCACTAAGCCATCCCGAGATACAGCATTTACTGGCTTACACAAGCTGCATCAGGATAAGGATGGAAGATCTTTCAGATGTTACTGAAATCTTAATCTCTAAATATAACCTATATGATCTTGTTTAACAAAGGAGATGTTAACTTGGTGGCATAGAGAAGAGATTCTGCATGTTTTGCCTATTAGAAAAATCATCTTCAGAATAATAAAATCCAGTTATGGTATTATAAATATAAGAAACTGTGACAGACTCACATACAGACAAAATGAGCTATTTACCCAAAAGTGGCCAGATGAACAATTTTCAAGCATAAATGTTACTGGCGAGATTCAAAAGCAGATCAAGAAATCTTAAGTTCAAATTTCAGTTGACATCTTGTTTATAAGTTTGAAAGAGAAACTCTAACAGAATTTCAAGTAAAATTAACAACACTTTGCAGAGTGCATGGGCAATAAGATCTTGATCCTGATAGTAGTTGTGATAGGCTTTGATTTGAAAGCCAACAACATACAGTACAAGCTAATACTTAGGCAACACTGCTTGCCATTCAGTAGGTATCTGCAAATAGAGAACATAAAAACAGAAGATAAATAGACCAGAAGTGTAAGCAAAACCTAGGGAGGTGACAGGACAGGGAAGCGGGGAGCTGAATAACTCTCAAATATGATTTACAGAGCAAATCGGCCTGAAATATAATAGACTCACATAATCACATAAGGATCAAACATTCTATTGTTTGAAAAACATATTTTACTGTATAGGAGGAGAAATTCACTAGGTAACAAAGCACTTAGGAGCAACTGTTCCTCTGAGGTCCTCAGTCTTCCTCACGCCATACTGGGGATTAGAGAACTACAGTACATACTTTGAAAGAATTAGCTCAGGGTGGGTGGGAATGACAGTGACAGGGGAAAAGCTGGAGAAACAAGGTGCTGTTAGAGAAGAGAAGCCAGGGACAGCAGGAGGCTCCCAGGCAGGCACTAGCAGGCAGCACTGTCTTCACACACCAACACAGGCTATTTGGACATCCCTGGTAGCTCAGCTGCCGGCTGACATCATCATCACTCCACGGCCTCCCACACCACTTACAGGACAAGGGTGGGTGAACCAACAGGACTGGATTCCCAATGCAAATAGAAAGAAGTAAAGACCTCTGACTGTGAAGGTTTACATTATTTTTCCTTTTATGTATCTGCTCTTGTTTTTTCTCAGGTGATTGAAAAATCCAAGTGGAAAAAATCTAAAATCAGAAATTGTGTAGAAACAATTTCTCCGATATAAATCAAAGGCTTGTCAATTGTCAAATCCTCTCCTGCTTCCATATGCCTACGCCAGGGTTTCCAAGCTGTCTTGGAGCAGTTTTGACCCCAATGGAAGAGAGCTGGTAGGAGGTGAGGGCTGGGAACAGGTGAGAATGCTTCTACCTAGCAGGGAAAGGTGTTCCTCCTGAGGGGATAACCTGTCAGATGGGTGTGTGTGTGTGTCTGTCTGTCTGTCTACCTTTCTGTCTCTGTATATGCATGTAATGAAAGGCAAGTTCTATTTTCTTTCAGTTTCTAAAACATGAAGGCAGAGAAAAATCAAAGCAGATAAGTAAGGGCATCATTATGTACAAATAAATGAAATAGATTTTCAGCATAAGCTCTATGAATAGAGCACTCTATATCTGTGTAATGTGTGTGTGTGTGTGTGTGTGTGTGTGTGTGTGTGTGTGCGCTTACTGCTATCACTCTATCACCTACTGTTACAGTAGGGCGCATAGTGGGTATTCCATAAACACATTTGAATTGGTTATGTGAAAGTAATAAAAGACAATGGGAATTCTGAGATTGCGCCTAAATTAAAGGATATACTCTCTTGACGCTTAATCAGCACCTCAAATCTAGCCTCATTCAAACAACACCCAATGTATGTAACCTAATCTAAACCAGTAGGGAATGAGTGGATATATAATACACTTATTTAAAAATAGCAAAAAAAAAATGAAGTTACATATGTAAAATTTTTAATTAGATCTAAGAGAGAACATTTTACAAAATGAAGAAGTGATAAATGAAGAGGTGATAAATACATGAATTGACATTATTATTACATACCGCACATTAAGTGCTATAAACACAGATTTTGCACATAAAAAGCTGTGAGATCAATTACATAATACTTTCAAGTTTTTTTCTTTGTGATGCCAATGCTTGTTTTAACATTTTCTTATATTGATTTCTGTCTAGTCCTTTCTCAGCCAAGTGGTTCCCTCAGAACAACTTCATGACTTCTTCCTAAATAACCATTTTGATATCAGTAGTTCTCCAAAATGCTTCCAAATATTAGAGAAGAAACAAGAAGCCCTTGTAACTACTAAATACATTAATCCTTAAAGTCACAGAAATAAGTAAAACAATAATTGATATAAACATAGGTTTAAAATTTCAGTATCAAACCAAGATAAGATGCTTTCATAAGAATTGTATTTATCCATTTCCTCTACTTACATATTCATTTCCTGCAGATTCTCAGCTGCAAAATAAAAAGTCTTGATCTGTGGATGGTTGATCTTAAATGCACTGGGAGGAGGAGAAACACAAGCACATCAGAATTAGTGTTTGTAATCATCTGTGGGTCTGAAAAGAAATCCGTCATATACAAGCACCATAAAAGTATTTTTTGTAAATTTACAAAAAAAATGTTGCACAAACACCTATTGTCCAGTTCCTATTTCAGATAGCACTCTGCAAGTCAAATTATCATATTAATACTGAGACTTAACTAGTAAATACTTTCCATTCAAAAGATATAGGCATTTCTATTTCTTTTCACTTATTAACCTCTTTACTCTAAAGATATAATAAGTTAAATTTGACAGTCGTAGAGGTGTCACTTCAAAATATTCATACCAAAGCAAAGTTTTTATTCAAATTCAGTTAACTGTACACCAGAATTTTATTTATAAAAATAATTAGGTATGGATTTCCACACTGTGACAATTTATCAGAAATCTTGTGCAAGATGGCTTCTAGCTTAAAGGAAAAATTTAAAACTTTGACATTAAGAAATAATAAACTCCTTCCACTTTGCCATTTAGACCGGAAGTCCTACAGGACAGGATGGTTTTGTTACATTACCATTCAAAAGCCACAAGAATCAACAGAACTCATGCATCATGATATGCATGGTGCTATATCAGAGTGCCAAAGAAACAAAGCAAAATCAGTTTATTAATTGTTTCACAAGAAAAAACAATTAATCGCTGCAACTAAAAACATAGGTCAGTAGAGAAATGCCTCTTTTCAATAAAACTGGAAAAGATACCAAAAGTTGGAGAATTTTTAAAAGGTCAAAGAGGATATAAATGCAAAATAACAGCAGGATGCTGTCGTGGAAAGGCCTTTGACTGGAAGTCTGGACCCAGAGTGCAGACCCTGAAGTCCCTGAGCTCTGAACTGGTAACACTCTCTTCCAGCTACTGTGTTTCCTTCTCTCTAGAACAAGGGCCTCAAGCTGGAGAGTGCTTTGCTCTTGTCAGTTTTCAAATCTTTGGGGCTTAAACTACATCAGAGTACAATCTCAAGCTTAAAACACCTCAGGGAATCCAATGGTAAGTGTACCCCTGACAACGCCATGAGCTAGGAGGAACTGGCTGCAGTGATGTCTGCAGCTCTGGTGAACTCTGTTTAACTATTTGTTCTCTTTGCAAGGTCCAAACCGTGACATCTATCTGACCCCCCTTTCAGCCCTGGATAGGAATGTATTTTTCATTCTATCATGGGCACAATTAATAGCATCCCATGCCAGGTCTTCCAGGAGGCTTTAAATCCATCTCTTCCATCAAATGAAATACCAGAAAATGAGAGGTTAAATATTTCTATTAGTATTTAACTGCCAACTTTTAATGTTTACAATTCCCAGACATTTGAGCATTACTTGCACTCACTTCCACATCACAACATCACTTGATGGTTAGAAAGGGACATTATCCTAGCTCAGGTGTGTGGAGGTTAAGAAATGACTTACTGCTTTTTCTTGCATTCTGATGCTCTTTCCACTGTGAAATCAGACAGGTTGACAAATCCATCTGCTTTCTCTGCCTGAAACAAATACACACCACAAATAGGAATAAATACATCAATCCTAGGGTTTATGAGATTATATAAATGTAATAGAGATGGTATAAATGAAATGAGGGAGAATCAATAGATACTTCTTTGAATCATCACTAACGATGGACTTATCCTAGATACAAAATTTATGACAGAAATTAGTATTTTCCTGATAAGTTACCCAGAATCTTTTCATGAGAAGTGACATGACACAGCTTAGAGATGGTCAACTCTGGCAGGCACAGGGCCCCTGACCCCTTCCTGTCTGCGAGGAACCCACAACGCCAACCCATCTGAGACCTACTTCCTGCTGAGCTCATAGCCATCCTCAGCATCATTCTCGTCCTATTACCACAAACATATAAGATGAAACCCCATTAGTAACCTTGATATGGCGGACAGAGCCCTTCTTCTAAAGTTAGCAATTCTATACTCCTATCATGGACCTACCTCCTGCTAATTGTTATGACTTAAATGAGTCTAGATAAATAAAACACTTAAGAAATACCCAACAAACATTATTTCCTCTCCCAAGTCTGTAGGCAGTGTCTGGGGAATTCCTCCACAGATCCACATCCCACAGAAGAATCTTAGTTCCAAAATCAATTCCTGTAAAGGAAGACTTCACGAGAAAATGAGACTTACAAGGACCTAGCATGAATGTTGCTTTAAATCATCAAATATTTCACTGGAAATGTAATCATTGTCCCACCTCTCTAGGAATTTTTAAGGTATATATTATGAATAAAGTTTAACTGAGTTACAATGAAGCTGGATTGTTTGTCAAGTGGAACCCAAATCTCCTTTCATTGACATTGGTGTCTATGAGTGCAAAAGTAACTCCAAAGATTAAGCATAGATGAGCCGATGGTTATTGGAGGATTAGTTAAAATTGTTTTTGAAATACAATCCTAATTTTTAAAGTCATCTAGCTATGTTTAGTGCCATAGGCATTCTTGGTTTGATTCATCATTCTGTCTCCTTTTCTTATTGCCAACTAGAGGCACTTCCTGCAGTCTTCAAAAAAAAATCAAACTGTGAAACATTCAACCATGTTTCCATCCTCCATCTCCTACATGACTTAAGTCATCCAGTTCTTTACCTGCACTGCCTCCCTCTTATAAGATTCAAAACTTCATCCTCTTGGGCACTTCTCCTTTAAAAATATCCATACAACATTTTCTGAATATACGTATTTGTTCATATATATGTTTTAATCTACATACGTATAACATACAATCATATATATTTTATATATATGTGAAACTTATCTGTTGATAAGCTGCTTAATTACCACATGGTGTTTTCACCAATTCTACCTCAAGAGAGAATAGAGTATTTGAAGGATATAAAATGTATAAGTCAACTTTTTATATGACCTGCAGTACTTCCTGTGAGCTCTCGGTGTCATAAAAAAGTATATGTTTTAAAAACTATTAGGTTCCATCAGTTCCACTTATAGAGCTATACTCAGAGGATTCAAAAATGGATACAGTTCTTAAATAAATACATGTACATACACGGTCAGAGAAGCACTATTCACAATAGCCAAAAGAATGAAAAGCCCAGCCCATCAATAGATGATGGACAAATTGTCATGTATCCATACAATGGAAGATTATTCATGCATATAAAAGAATGAAGTATTAATGCATGCTACATGGATGAATCTTAAAAGCATTATGCTAAATGAAACAAATCAGACAGAAAAGGTCACATATTGTATAATTCCATTTATTTCAAGTATTCAGCATACAAAATCCGTAAAGATAGAACACAGTTTGGCACTGAGGAGTGATGGATAGGAAACAGTTGCTTAGTGTTACCTTTTGGCAGGATGAAAACATTTTGGATCTAGAGAAAGGAGATGGTTGTACAACACTGCGAATATACTAAAACTGCCACTGAGCTGCTCACTTTAGTTAATGTCATGTTACATAATTTCTTTCTTAATATATCATCAGTTATACTCAAGTATTTTTAATTAAAATTCCCATAATCTATATAGAAAGAAAAATGATTTATACTTACCATTTATTTCCACTTCCAGATACCATTAACCCCAATGACTTCCACATTTCTAACTCCTATTTTCTTTTTTAGTCGTCACTTGATTGAACTCTAGTAACTGATGCTATAGCTCCTTTCTGCCTCTTGACATCCCCTCCTATCTGGGATTTTCTGACCACACATTACTGCTGCTCCCCTTTTCCTCTGAAGACTCCTTCTCTTTCATGGGGTCTTCTCCACCTGTGTGTTTCTTAAATCAGAGTTCTTCCCACAGACATAGGACTCTTCTCATCTCAGTGCTCTCAATGAGTGATCATGTACACTGTATGGCTTAAGTATCATTTTACACACATATCCAAAATCTATTCCTCAAGCTTCAACTCAGCCCTGGAGCTCCTGCCCAGATCTACACTGCCTAGTGCACCTGCTCATATAGGTATTCCACAGGCTCCCCAAGAGTGACATATAAAAAACCAGATCCATCTCCTTGCTCACTAACATATGCCTACTGTTTCTCCTCTTCTGTTCTCTGCTTCAAAGAACAATACCACTTTCTATCCAGATGCCAAAGAAAACAATCTGAGGGATAACCTCCCAGCCCACCTATAGTTTTAAGAGTCTGTCTCCATCAAAACTCATGTTGAGGCTCAGTCCTCAATGTGACAGTGCTAAGAATAGTTTTGAGGGCTTTAAATGTAACTAAGTCACTAAGAGAAATTCCCTTCTCACAAGTTGTCATTCTTTCAGGTCTGGATCAGTTGCAGCAAGAGTGTTTATTTTAAAAGGGAAGGCACCCATGTGTCTGGCACCTTTTGCATGCAACTGTTTCCTTTTCCTTTCGTCTGGCATGAATTAGGCAGTGCCTGGTCCTCACCAGAAGATGAGCAGATGCCTGCACCATGATCTTGGGCCTCCAGAACTATCAGCTAAATAAACCTCTTTTCTTTCTAAGTCCCTAGTCTCTAGCATTTTGCTGTAGAAAATGACCTATGACAATATGCTTACAGGAATTCATGCAAGTAAACACAAAGTTCTATAATTGCTTTACCTGTCCCAGATTATTGACCCACCTATTACCTTCCACTTCCATCAGATCACCATTAACATTTTCTTGAATTACTGCAAAAGTCTCTGAAACTATTCTTCTTCTTTCTAATTTTTCCTTCCCTCCAATTTAGTGTCGAAGTCATGATCACAGCAAATCTTGGCATCAGGAGCATTCTTCATGTCACTTCTCTAATTAAAACCCTGCATGGTTTCCAATTGCACTTGGATAAATTCTGAATGCCTTAGCAGAAGGCCTTTTGTGATTAAGCCCTAATTAATACCACAATCTCATCTTCTCCAATGCTCCTTCTTCCTCCTCAGCCAAAAATGAACAGAAAACTTAAAACACAATACTTTCATAAAGCAGAATTAGAATTGACACCCAATTTGTGGTATCTTTAGTTTCTAGACAATTTATTTTCAGTACAAGAAGCCCATCTCAAAAGACAATATAAAAATCACTAAAAATGTGTGAAACATGCATGTACTCACATTTTTATTTACTTAAAAATAAATCAAAGTAAAAGATAAATTGTAAATCTTCATGTGGGTGGATTCTACTTCTTCATATCTGAAATGGCTACGATTCCTTCCAACAAGATACCCAGTAAATTTGAGCAAAACCACCTGTATTTCCCCAGTGAATCTTCCCCTCACAAGAAGACTGTTTTTCATTATTCTGAAGACATTCAAGCTGTATTTAAAGTAACAGACAACTGTGTCAAAAATGTTTCTTGCTTATTTGACTTGCAAAAATGCCTCCAAAATGACAATCACAGTGGGAAAATTCTGAAGGAATGACAGTTTTCTTTTCCTTCTCCTCCTTCTCCCCATAGTCCTTTCAGATTCTTTGTTGCCTCTTACATATAACAGAAATAACTAACTTGAATAGTATCTTTCCCCTTTAATGACTCCTAACTTTCTAAAAAGTTTCTTGCAAGCTGTGTTTTGGTACCTGCAAACTTCCCTCCAAATCCCTATGTAGTAAAAGACTTGTCCTCTTCCCAGAAGTATCAGATTATCCTCCGGCCATTGTGTAAAACTGTCTAGCAAACCTAGTCTTAAATTCTGAAACAACTCAGTAATTTTCACTTCCCCACACAATGTTCTATGATCAGACTATGCCTCAGAAGTCTTCCTCCCCACATTTCAGCCCATCCCTGCATTTCCCTCACCATCTCTGATTTTCTCCACCTTGGTGGAGTAACAAGTGAACTTGTTATCACTGGGTAGCACTAAATTCACATTTTTCAAAAATCATTAGTGTTAAAATGTTGGGGGGGAAGTTAAAAAGTAAAGGTGCTGATCATCTCTCTCATGTCATGAGTCACCTGTATTATATTTCCCTGAAACACTCTGTTTTCATTCATCTTCAGGCTCTAGACATTCATTTGTTCAACAAATGTTTACAAAGTACCTCCTCACATCAGGAACTGTGCCGAATATGTGGAATACAACTGTGAACAGACCAGAGATCTCGGCTCTCAAGAGAAAAAGAGATGATACACTCAACATGTAAACATATAAGTTGCTCAGAAAAAGAGATGTCAGTCAATATAATGGCATTTCAGAGTGTGAGCAGAGAAGGTTACCTACTGCTGCCTGGGTCAAACTGCCCCCTCCTGCCTCATCTCCTTAAGTTTCCAGGACCCAACTGAGGTGAAACCTTCTCCAAACCTTTCTCTCTGCTTTCCCCGTGCTGGCACAGGTGCCCCCTGCTTGTCCCAACATCAAGAAAGGGTTTCCCTTACAGTACTTCTCTCTCTGAATTCAGTCATCTGCTGCTTCTCCAATAGACTACGAATCTTGAAAGAAACATTTGTGTCATTTATGTATATTATTTATACATAAGGAAGGATTCAACAAATGTGGAAGAAGTTTTATGAATGACTGAGGAATAGGAAAGTTATTTTTTTCGTCTGACAATAAAA